ATTCTTGCAATGGAATTCATTTGTAATCATTCCATTTCAGATGGAGGAGGCAAATGTCTACAAGGAGACCAAGCAATTCACTTACAAAGACGGCTCTCAGTTTGTCTTCATGGACTTGGTACTGTCTGATTCTATAATAAAATAATCAAATGTTTCAAATGGCTGCCTCTATCAACCTCTCTTTTTGTTTGTTTGTTTGTGTGATGCAGAGCTCTTATGATGAAACACGTTTAAACGAGGCAGATATGGGTGATAAGACGAAATGGCTTAAAGAAGGAATGGAATGCAATCTGCTCTACTGGAAGGACAAGGTACCTCTCTGAGTTTCCTCATACTTACTGTTAGTTCAGGAGTGGTTATAAGCTTATTGAACCATCTCTGTCTTTCAGGTTATCGATTTTGAACTGCCCATTACAGTTCAGCTAAAAATAGTTGATGTTGATCCTGGTCTTCGCGGTGACACTGCACAAGGTAAATGTCTCAACATAATCTATGGTCCAACTCCAAGTTTGGGTTGAAGAACTAACCTGGGAGGGTGAATGTAGGTGGTGGAACAAAGCCGGCGACACTGGAGACAGGTGCAGTAGTAAATGTACCGCTCTTTGTAAACGTAGGCGAAGACATAATGGTGGACACAAGAACGGGTACGTACATGAGCCGGGTGTGAGACTGCATCTGTGGTTGTTGTATCTGGTAAGGAAGGTGAGGTTACAGTGATGCATGAGTGGTTTTTGTTAGAGTGATTAGTTGAGTGTGAACACAGAGGATTGTAATGGAAATGAGGCAAATAGATATATATGATTACAGCCATTTGGCTTGTTGTTGAACTTCTGCGCAAGACTCTATTTTAGTAGAGAGCAGTTATATGAGATCTTCATTTTGCGGTTGACTCTGAGGTCACTTTGTAAGGTTTTTGCTCGCTACACTACAGTAGTAACATTCTTTGGACCTCGGAGAGGATATAGACCCAACACAGCCCAAATGTTGGTCCATAAGTCCAGTAGCATACATTTGTTTTCCTATAATATTTCTTTTTTTTTTCTCATAGATGAACCCATATTATGTCACGACAATATTACCAATAAACAGATTGAATGTCTCTGAAGTATAAACTAAACTGATTCAACTATTTTGTGATAAAAGGAACCCACCATTTCCGTTTTTTTT